TTCATTCTCAGCACATAGTTGAACAAACAGATGATGAAAAAGAGATTGTCAACATCAAGTGACTTTTTTAAGAATTTAGACTGGTTGTAACCTCTTGGTTTTCACAGAGAACTAGAAATCCGCATGAGTGCTCTACACACTCTTTGCTTGTAATGATGATCCTTGACATAAACTACAGTAATATAATTAGCACATACTCAGGTTTACTTTATAATTTATGAAAATATATTATTTAAAAAGGAATGTGGATGCATATGGCTTTATAACACCCCTTTTCACAGTTAACGTTTCTCATTTGCACTACAATATAATCAAATGTTGATGCGCGGCAATTTTGGACTGAAACTACGTAACTGCTGAAATTGCCGGACATACCTGCTGGATTTATTGTAATGCAAATGAGAAAAGTTTACGTCAGAAATGCTATTAAAATAAACTGTGCAGTGTACACATGTGAATAACACAATTTGATGTATTTATCTATTGACAGTAAACTTCAAATCAATGTTGATCTTACAGTAGCAATGAAATGTGAAAGTAAGTTTCTGTTATTCAAATACATGTCAATTTAGGTTTAATATGCACTGTACTGGTACAACTGTACATCTTTGACTTTTAGTACATTTTATGAGTTTTTACTGAAATTATGTAATCTCTATCACATATTGAAAATAAGTATGGTCAATTTATTGACTCAATAAATGAGTTTTAGTTTAATTATCTATTGCATTTACTAATAATGTATGGTTTTAGTCATCTTGTACCGTGGCTTGCATCTATGCATGAACACATGATGCCGAAACATTCTCTTATTGGGTGTCAAAAGTGGCATGATTGGTCATCAAACATGTGAAGTTTAGCTGACTGTGACACGAACTTTCGCACTTGAAGTTCAGCTCACAAAATGGCAGAAAGATTGGACATTGAAGACTTGTTCGGAGAACTTGACCCTGACCTGTGCCAATATGCATACACCTTTCACGAAAGTGGTTTTACTTCTAGTATAACCATGAAATATTGGCAGGAGCAAAACTTTCAGAGACTTTCTGAGTGCGAAAGTTTGTGTTACGGTCTGCTTAACTTCAAATGTTTGATGACAAATCATGCCAGGTTTGAGACCCAATTAGAGCATGTTTCGGCATCACGTGTTCACGCTTAGATGCAAGCAACAATATTTCTTGGGAGGAACCTAAGTTTACTGTCGAGCCCTGTGGGTTTTATTAGGTCCCTCACCATTTTTTTCTCTGGTTTTTGTATTGTAATAATTGTTATTTCTTTGTATATTTCTTTAAAGGCAAATAAAAAAATATTACATATAAATAATGTTCTTAACAAATCTTTCAGATATTGGAGCAGATGTCCTAGACTTATCGGGTTCCACATTAGAACTGGGAGATAAACTGAAGTTAGAGCCAGTAAGTTCATTTTATCCAAAAATTTTAATTTAAGCACAAAACTTGTCTAGACAAATTTATATAATTTTAGCCACTGTAACTGGTTGATTGATTCAATCATTTAATCTTATTTGACAGAGCTATTTCGAGCTAAGTGCTGATCAAAGTTCTTGGTTAAGGTAAGTACATTATTTCCTTGTAACTTGTTCAAAGAGTGGATATTACTATCCTCTGGATAAATCACAAATCAGTGGATAAGATTGTGTCCACAGAAAAAACTCTGCTATCAGCTTGATAAAGATGCATTTGGTGCAACCTATATGTTATGCAATGATCTGAAATTTTGGGTCAAATTCATGAATATGTTTTTTTTTTTTTTGGTTTGCAATTAATCCATTTAGTAATCTGTGTAATATACTCTTATTAGGACTTGATGAAGTCTGTAATATTAGACAAGTATACATATAGCACTATGCCATACCGGTACTTCTCTTCAAGCCACTGTGCATTGCACAATTAAAATAAATTGTACTTTCAATTTCCCCTTGCCACACTTTTAACATTTTGTTGGAAGTTTGCTGACAATTCCTTACACCCATTCATAAAATACTTGTGAGTGGCACCATGAGAAGGATAATGAAAAGCATTCTGCTGCCTATAAACACTACTTCATTAATTGTAATATTACTGTTTTCAGCATGTTTAGAAGAATGCATGCTTTTATGGAAGGATATAGAGCTTTGAAGATCCTTGAGGAGTTTAAAGGTGACTTACCCACATACATGCCTAAAAGGTCAGTAAACTAAAATCCATGTTTTAGCAGGTTCAAAATATGGTGTACAGTTATATCTATTATTAATAAATCACTTTTTCCTGGCAGCTAGATGCAGTAGGTATGACTATTCTGATTGGAAATGTTTAATAGGAATTTTAATTTCACCAGAAGGATTTTCTACATCTGTTGAAGGCATGACTCCCAGATTACAGTATGTCATGATTTAATGACAACAACAATATAAATTATGTATGTTTGTGATTTTTTTTACCGTGCAGACAAGATGAAGAAACAAAAGATAAACCTTATGATGCATGTAGAGTTCATGGCTCCTTTGAGGTCAACAAAGTGGCTGGCAATTTTCACATCACTGCTGGCAAGTAAGTACAGCTTCATGCTCACTGAATGATGTGGGACTTCCTCTATGTCCCAGTGGAACATAGTGTGTCTACTGTAGTTTGACTTTGACACAATCTGCTCTTGTTGCTCTTTGCCTCACCACAACACGTACCTACTGTAGATCTTGTCTAGATCCTCTACAGGTCACAATGCCAGGCATTCTTGCCTACATGTACCTTTCATTACTTTTTTGTGTCACTGAATGTTATTACCAAATTGACGCCAAAATTTCAGAGCATGAAATTCGCCCCATACAGTTTTCTCATTGACTGTGTATTAACCAATCCTTTTTTTCTTTTGATGTTACCTCCAGGTCTATCTATCATCCCAGAGGACACGCCCATTTAAGTGCTTTGGTACCATCTGAGAGTAAGAACTGAGCATTTCTATTGCTGTTTAACAGTGCTGATCAGACAAAAAAATAACTGTAGTATCATAGATTATACTCTCTGTCTAATAACATTGAAATGTTAAGTGCATTTAATGCACCCTTTAATTTAAAACAAAAAACAGGTTACTCAGAATATTATAGCTTATACCATGTAGCTTATTACATGAAAACATTCTAGATAACTTATCATTCAAGATATAAAAATGCCATAATTTATTAATTTATCCTTTATTGATTCTTTATTAGTTATATTGTAATTCTTTTGGAAGGTCTTATGTTTTTGTTTATTATTCCTTTATTTTGATTCAATAATCTACATGCAAACGCACTCATTAAGTTGTTGCTCTGATTCATGCATAAAGTATGCAGCGTTATGTTTACTGTGTTCTCATTACTGTCCACAGTATTCAACTATTCTCACAGAATTGATGTGTTATCTTTTGGTCACTGGGTACCTGGCTATATCAATCCTCTTGATGGAGACATTGTGACTACTGATAAACGTGAGAAGACAGTCTGTTTTGTGATAGGATGAGCTCTACAGAGTGTTATGTACAGAGTGGCGCACTTCAGAGCCTAACAAGTGCACCTTGCTAATGTGGTGATCCTTTCACTTGATCATGATATTATTTCTGTAAAATTACTTTGAGCCTTGTTTATTTTATAATTATGTGGATCAGAGGACATTTCCTGAGTTGCTTACAGTATGTGCAAATGATCACTGGTTGAAGCAGATCAACAGAATTTAACTAATATCCTCCTGGGGAGAAAGACACATTTAAACGCTTGTATTATGGTCATCTACTAGTTGCTGCTCAAATAATTTACCTTGTTTTTATTTTCTTCTCAGACATGCAGATGTACCAGTATTATATTCAGGTTGGTTTTTGTGTAAAAATTGCGTATTATAATAACTGATTTCCTACCTGCTGGTATCTACTGCTGAAATATCTGAAATATTTATTTTCCAAATGATTCTGCAGATAGTACCAACAACAATTAAATCACTTAGTGGTCGCATAACAAAAACAAACCAGTACTCAGTCACACAAAGGGTAAGTCAGACTACAATTTATAACCATTCAATTAAATTGTAATATCACATGTTATGTATCAGTATAATAATTTGGATCCAATTATTGGTCAAATTATGCTTTTCTTCAAGTTTATGAGCCTCACGACTGGGGATCAAACAATGATACAGTCTGTCAAATAATAACTGTTGTTAACATTGGTGTTGTCTTTGCACAGTCATGTATGTTTGTGTGTTTTTGGTTACAACTAAATAACACATGGTTCCATTGTAATTTTAAATATTAGAAGTTTAACCAACATTCTTGTCTAGACATGAGAGAAATTGAATCATGAGTAGTCTGTGCTACTGCTTGGTCCAGTTGAATCATCAGCAGTCTGTGCTACTGCCAGGTCCAGTGTAATCTTCTGCTGCTCAGCCAATCATGATACTCCACTTTTCACAATGAACTTGTAATGTTAATAATTAAGAAATTGGGAACATGTCCTGTGTTTCTATTGAGTTATAGAAACATGAGTGGAAGTTTGGGAGAATGAGAAATGCTGTGGAAAGTTCTCCCAAACTTTCACGAGTGTTTCTATAACTTGATAGAAACACGGAGAACATGTTTTCTATTTCTTTTAGAAAGCACCATGACAAAAAAAGGAAAACAACTTATTAACTTTGATTATCAAAATGTAAATTCTCTTTGCTCGTGCCATCATTATGTCAACAGCTCTTGCTAGTTCTGTGTTTCCAGTTATAGAAAAACGGTTTTCAACCATTCAGCACACATATTTGCGTAAGGATGTTTCTAATCAAGTTTTTTTAATTAACCAATATACTGCAGGACAAATTTTCATAATTTCTTTTAAGGCCATTACGTGTATTTCTTTTCACCAATAACTAGAAATGTTGAATTATTAGTGAAAATGTGATAATTATATCATTATTTTCAGCAGCAATAACAATATACTGATTTGTTAGATAATTAATTATGATTTGTTATAAAACACATGCAACAAGTGCATTAGAATTTGCCAAATTGGAACTAATTTTGTTTGTCAGATCCGAGAAATAGACCACAATGCTGGAAGCCATGGCATTTCTGGTAAGGAAGAAGTATAGAGTATACTAAGTGATCTACATGATAGTGTGGAAAGCCAGGGGTTTCATTAAGGGGTAGGCACCGGGCAAATTGACCGGCTTTGAGAACATTATTTGGCACGCTGTTTTCATCATCTAGCGAAAAGGCTTTCTTTCAAAGAAGTTCAGTTCTAATAGTTTTGCCTGCCTGTATAAACCAGTTGCCCTCCCACTGAAAACATTAGTGAAACCCCTGGGAAAGCAGAAAATGAAAGTACCTGACCTTAACACTAACTTTCTCCTCAACACATTACCCAGGGACAGCTTGAATTTTTACATCTTTCTGACCCCTTGGAATTTTACCTAGTTTTTTTTTTTTTTTTTAGAACTGCCTGGGTTAGTGCATTGATAGTAATTGGTAGTTACGGATGTGTTATTTTTTCCAGGAATTTTCTTTAAGTATGACATGTCGTCAATAATGGTACGAGTTGAAAGTCAACATAGATCATTCTGGGGTTTCTTGGTTCGTCTGTGTGGTATCGTGGGAGGAATGTTTGCTACTTCAGGTAAAAATCACTTATTAAAACTTATTCACTCATGTATGATGCCTTGCTATAAAATGCGTTAGAGGATAATCTCTACATTTTATTCTTCTTGATAATTTGCTGTTCTTTAATGTATCGATTTTAAACAAGTATCTAATATCTGTTAACTTTCTGTTGTAGGCATGCTGCATTCATTCATTGGCTTCTTGTTCGATGTGATAACTTGTCAGTTTCAGTTGAAGAAAAAGGATGAGAAAGTGAGTTTTAGTTACTGTATGTTGCTTCAGGGATGTCATGATTTCATTGCCAAGTTTTTGGGCACTTACGTGAGATACATTTCATTAAATAGATCTGGATCTAGGCTATTGTGTTGATAAAAGGGTTTGTTATAATAGTTACTATTCTTTCATTGTGTGGCAGGATTAAAGATCTGATTCAACAGTAAACATAATCTGTAGTGATTCAATGTTGGTTGAACCCATTAATTTCCTGAGAGATCAAGACCAATTCCAAGTATTAGTATGAATTATCAAATGGCGATGAGTGAAATAAGGAAATAATTTCACATGCATTTCAGGAAATTAATAGAATTTTGACAAAATGTGAAGTTATTTCCTAGCTTCACAAGTACAATGACAAATTACGCTTACAATCATGGGCTTTTGACTTGTTTATTGTATGAAGAAATTTTGCACCAAATGTTGCCATGGCAATTGTGTAATTTCACATGTGAAGTTATAAATTAACACTAAAAATTTTTCACCAAAATTAAGGAGTAATTTGTCACCCATAACATTAACAGTATACCGTATCAGACAGGACAATGGTCACAAAAAAATGTCAAGTAGCTTGTTGTTTTTGAATGTGTACTTATAAAACTAACCAGTTTTCTAGAAAAACCTTTTAATATCACCTGTTGTTATTCTTATCAACTTTCAGCCCCTTACAATGTCAGAGATCTCTCCAGGAACATCTGTGATCCAACCAAATGGCTTGCCTTCTCAACAAACCCAACAAGGCCAAGATCCTGTTGTCAGTTTCTCCCCCGAGGGAGTTGACCCAGGTGTGAACATTGTTTCACCAGGCAACGTTGGTCTTGAAGATCAATCACCAGTGATAACATAATACAGACTACTTTTAATAGCCTGAAAACATTTAGTATTTGCATCTACAAGTTTGAGAATGGTTTGATATGAAATTTGCCATAAGTTGACCTCTTTTCTTGTGCTTAAGAATTCTGATCCAATATCAAACGAGTTAGTTTTGGATTGCTCAAATAGAAGAAAATAATTTATGTTGTTCCCACCAACAGAAGACATAGTTACAGTATTTATTAGATTTATTAACAGTCTTTGGAGCTGAGGTCATCAGAAACTTTTAAGCAGCAGAAAGATTTGTCATCAACTACAGTTTCCAGTCAAAGGCTTTTGGATTTCCTTCACAAAATGCCAGATTCTAAAAGCACTTTTGATGGATTTTGGATTTAGCACCTTGTGAAACAGAAACCCTTTTGTCAATAACAAGTCTCATCAACAAGTGAAGCAAATTAACACAATCAGAAAACAAAGCTGGAGAGCAAATACGAAGGCATTGCACCAGTTGCCTAAATTCTTGGCAGTAATTTTCACTGGTTACCTGAGCTACATGTATGGCAGAATTCAGTTGAGATGATCTCATCAGAAAGATGAATAGCACTTAACATGACATTTACATAATTTGATGAATATTATCACTGATAGAGACTGGCAAAACTGCAGCAAGTGTACATTTGTACATTCCACAAATTTTTTCTTTGGCAAAAAAAGTTGTAAAGTACTGTCTAGTTTTTTTTAGTTTGGCCAGTATGTCAAGTAACAAAAAGGTACAGTTTAAACTAAAATGTTTGTGGTTCAGTTTTAGCCGTTACAATTTGCTAATGTCCTTGGTTCTGGCGAATGGGTAAAATTGAACCATGCAGGCATAAAACCCAGTATTAGGAATGCAACATGAACATAGACTCACTTGAACAGCAAGTCCATTTCCCCAGTTACAAGTCTTGTAACTCTTTGTTTAAGGGAGAATCTCATTAATGTACTTATTGACACATGTGTTTACAGTTCTTACAAGTAACTGTTCAGTACAAAGTTTTAATACATCATGTACAATCCAAATTTCAACATAAGTCCCTCTTTTTGTGCTTGTTCACACTTAGTCAGAGACAGCCTGAACTAGACTATTTTACTCTTGTTTGGGCCTTACTAGTGTATCTAATTGCATCTATTTTCTTATAACATCACCACATTGTGTTGACGTAACACCACATTACTAGAACCGACATTAAAACAAATTTAAAGGTAGCAGGAAGTCTTGTAGCCTTAGAGTATATGGGTATGATTGCCAGCCACTGTTTGGCAAAAGAACTCCCCAATCCTCTCCAGTAGAGGAGGAACAGGATGGGACTGGAGGGAGTGGCAGAAACTGAGCCTATAGAGCACTGCCAGATCATGAAACAGCTGCTGCTATTTCCTCTACTCTTACAATAGTTTCTTAATAATTATCATTTTCTCTTGTTCTTTAATATGTTTAATATTGTGGTTAGTTTTATCCTAGTCCATTAGGAGCCATCTCTTTTGCTTGCTTCTTAACTCTTTCTTCGTATTCCATCCGGCTTTGGCTGCAAGTTAAAGAGAGTTGATAGTACAGGTAATCAGGAAAGGAAACCTTCAACTCCATAGTTGGTTGGCTGGAGGGGGTTGGGT